ATTTGGCTCTTAAAAGGGTGACAACATTTTTAAGAAAATGTCAATGTGTTCTACTCCATAATTTCCTTCTTCCCCTATCATCTCTCCCCCCCCCCCCCCAAAAAAAAAAAAAGGCAGTTTTGGTTCCAAGCAGCATGGAAGCATATGAGGACAGAAGTATTCATATGGCAATACTTCTGTTTTTATTATAGGTGATAGAAAGATGCTCAAGTAGGCAATATTAGCATATCTTTAAATGAGTTGTAGAGAAAGAGAATCCTGAATGTATTAATCACCAGGAAAAGCAAGCTGCTTCCAATCATATGGTTTTCTTTCCTTTCATTTTTAAAATGAACAATATATATTTTATCACATAGACAGTGACTAAAAATAAAAAGAAAACCAAAACAAAATAAAACAAAAAACTTTAATCTCTCTGGCTAATATGAGAGTCCTATTTGTCATGCCCATTAGAGCTATTTCATAGAGTTATATTTAACTCATTCCTCAGGCTTTGCCACCTGGGGCTTGTATTCTGCTTGCAGAGCTGCTTTCTGTGCTGTGTGGAGTGTTCTGACAGCAAGATGAATGAACATAAGCCCTACTGCATGGGGAAATCAGCTAATGTTGCAGAATATGCTTTCAACTTCATGGTATAGCATTCTCAACAGCTGGTCAGAGGACTGACTACTGAGCAGGTCTTTCTGTGTTCAGACTGGTGCTGCTTTTCAAGTAGGAAACAACAAATCCAATGCATCCTCATGGCATAGGAAGCTGACAGCCTGCCAGGTTGTATTAAGAAAAACAGTACCAGCAGGTCGAGGCTGGTGATCCTCCCCGTCTTCTCAGTACTGCTGAGGCCACACCTGGAGCGCTGTGCCCAGCTGTGGGCTCCCAAGTACATGCGAGGCATGGACATACTGGGTGTAGTCCAGCAAAGGGCCAGGAAGATGATGAAGGGATTGGATTATCTGTTCTAGGAGGAATGGCTGAGAAAGCTGGGACAGTTTAGCCTGGTGAAGAGAAAGCTCAATACATAGCAATTCCTGAAGTGAGAGAGTGAAGATGAGGGAGATAAACTCTTCTCAGTGCTACTCACTGACAATACAAGAAGCAATGGGCACAAACTAAAAAATGGGAAATTCAAACTGAACATGAGATAATACTTCCTTACTGTGAGGGTGTTCAAACATTAGCCCAAGGTGCACAGTGGAGTTTCCATCCTTGGGAATATTCAAAACCTTATCGGATAGGATCATGATCAACCTGCTGTAGCTTACTCTGCTTTGATCTGGGACATTGGACTTCATAATCTTAGGAAGTCTCTTTGAGACTCAATGATTCTGTTAAACTCTCCAGTGTGTACCCAAGGCCTTCATTCTGCATTTCTTCCGCAGTTAAGAAGTGATAAGTCAATAAACCGTTGCCTGCTGCAGTGTTCTGTTTATCGCACTGAAAGGATTGCAGATTTCTAGAAAGGCTCCTGGTCCCCTAATTAAGTAAGAAGAACTAAATGGAGAGAGTACAAGATCCTCCTATCCGTTTGCACCATGGAAAGAGCTGCCAGTCCAACTGAAGGTCAGCTATAGCTTACTGTTGCTTACAGAAAAAAATGAGTAGAGCTCTAGCAGCATTTGTCACCAGCACAAGTGTCATTGTTATGAGGGCTCCTGAAAGAGGGGCAGTATTTTCCTGGAGCAATCTGAGAGTTCCCTCCCCTTCCTTCCCCTTACCTTTTTCCTTTCCTTTCACCAGTGTTTTCATCAAAACACCAAAATCCAGAAAAGGACCACAGAGTGCCCCTAGAATTATTATTGAGTGTTCTTGCACATGCTACTGAATGGAAATATGGATGAGTGTTTCAGTTAGCACAGTTTCTAAGCCCACCTCCTCTCTTCCCCTCTCTTTCTACCCACAACAGCTTTGTTCAGAGCCTTGTACAACTTTATTGTGTTAGTAAGTGCAGGAGCCAAGGCACCATTTGTGTTCATGCTGAGTTGCTCAGTTCTTAAGGTCGCTTATATTTCATCTCAGAAAATTCACCCAGAGGTCAGTTCAGGACTCGGCAGACATAATGAGAAACATTGCCTACTAAAAGAAAAGAAAAGAAAAAAAAAAAAAAGCTTATTTTCTCTTCGAGTGGTACCTTTCAGAAGAGATTCTTATTGGTTTGTTTATGGATTAGATATTGTACTTTTATACAGGCCAACAATTCTACCAAGGAAGAGCTGTAAAAATAAATAAATAAATAAATAAAACAAAAAACCTTGTTGTTATAAACTGCATGGTATCTTCAGTAAATTTTTCTCCCTGAAGAACATCATTTCTTCCGATGAATTTGCCATACTGTACTTCTTTTTGATCTTCAATACTGTAAAGTCAATATTGCAATATAGTAAAACCATAAATGCAAGGTGTCTGTGAAATAAAATGCCAGACTAGATTCTATTGCTATTCTTGCCCTGCAGAAATTCACAAACCCTTCAGGGAGAACAGAGGGACTACTCCCTAGGTCTGCTATCCCATGTAGTCTCTGAGCACATATAAGAAAAGCAGTCAAGTAACTATTATGTACAAGACCCCAGAGAGTCCAAGTCCCAGAAGGACACTGAGCTCCAAGAGCGGCAGCTCAACACTGTCTCTACACCTTGACTCCCTGTGCTGGTTTATTCTCCACCTCCCTTAGCAGGGCAGTCATGCTTCTGAGTAAACTGTCAATGTTACCTTCTAGTTCACAACCAGATATGCAATATTCTGGAGCAAGGCACCCAGGGCTCTCCACAATGAGAGCAGCAGCTCATTTGGAGGCTTTCCCTACACCCTGATGCCCCCCCTGCACACTGCCCTGTTGCCAAGCTGTTTCTGTAGATTTCATCCCTCCAATGGATCAAAAGCTTTGTGGCCCCTTACATTCCTGCTCCTAGTGCCTCCTGGTGTAGTGCACATATGGGTGGGGAAGGAGAGCAGAAGAGCAGAGGGACTCTTCATATCCCCAGAAATTTCCATTAATTGATTGTGTGTCTTCAGGCTGCTCTGAAAAAAAAAGATGACCCAGTAGCCAAACAAAATCCGCAGTCTCTTCATAGACAGTTACTGTAAAAGCACAGTACATTTTCTTGATCTTAATTTTTCCTTCTTTTTTATTTAAAAAAAAAAAAAAAAGAAAGAAAAACACCAAAAATAGACTCTCCGATTACACTGGGAAACTTATAAAGAGAATGCTTAATAATCCTTATAGCTCTGTCAGTCCAGAGATGAAATGAGTCATAAAAGTGTCAGAACGTGGCACCTACTGCTTTTTCACTGCTCTGACAGGAGGGGAAGATTATCATCATCTGGCCGACGCTCTAAGGGGAGGGCTTGTCACAGCATTACACGCCATCATCACCAAAAGGTCACTGGTCTCTGGCCAAAGACTTCAAAGACAACTGAAATACAGTGCATGAGATCCTTTCTTATTATTTTAGGTAGGCAAATAGTAAGCAATTGTTGTAATTAAACACAGCAAAGAAGTGAGGAAGCTAGGACCTCGGTGTTGATCCCTGAAATAAGTGCTTCCTCAGTTATTACAGTAATGCCAGGATTTTTACACAAAACAGGGAATTGATGTGCCAGGTGATGAAGGATTATGGATGTAAAATGCATTTCATCAGCCTGAAGAGAAGAATATCTGGCACAGAAACTGTAGTTTCTTATACCCAGTTTCACTTTGCATTGTTTACTTATTAAAAAAAAAAAAAAAAAGGCACCTCCAGTAAGAAGAATGACATTTCTATTTCTCCCAGAGGAAATAAACTTTATTAGACAAACAGTAGTGGCTTTTAGAGGAAAATGTGCAGCCGTAAGCCTTACATACTGCAGTGTGAAGTCACATAGTCAGAAGACTAGAACTGCCAGCATAGGAAACTGTTCTCCAGACCTTGGGTGAGAGCAGAGCTATAGGAATACAGCTCTGGAAGAAGAAAGATATGCTTGCAGAAAATAACCATGCAATTCATGGGTATGCTGGCACATGTAGGAGAAGCTGCCTGTGGGAAACGAAAAGCTGTCATTTTCCAGGGAATGGTACAAAGTAGGGGAGGTTTCACCATTATCTCCAGTGAAACTCCATGTTTGAGGCCTGTGACTACACCTCCCCTTTTTGAGATACAGCTGTTTTCAATGAACAGTGTGGGCCAGTGGCTGAAGACTGAGATTTGAGTTCCCTGTACAACTCTGCCATTGACTTGCTCACTGTCCTTAGGCAAGTTGTTTGACATCACCATGCTATTTAGTCTGTAAATCCGTTGGCAGTGCAGTTGTGACAGTGTATTTTTATTTTGTCCTGCCAGACAGGATGTGATCTCAGCTGAGAAGTCATGAAACTACAGTAAAATAAATGACTTAATAATTCAGAACAGAAATATAAATCCACCTCTCCGTTCTTTCCCAGAAACTAAAATAAGGGACGCCTTATATCACCACACGTCCCTACATAATCTAACAAAACCACAGTCAGCTGGACCATTTCCCAGCTTCAGCCGTTCTGAGAGATTACCAAACAGTAAGGCCTCTATCCAACCAAAAACTAAAAGAAAATAACACCGAGTTTTAGTACTCCTAGATAATTTCTACCTTCATATTGCCTAGAGATATTAGGATCTGTCCTTCCCTGTCCAGCCTTCCAACAACTAAACTAAACTAGCCTAAAGACAACTACACCCTATATTACCTATTGACTACCAATTAAGTAAGCTAGAAAGAGGAAAAATAAATAAATTAATTAATTAATTAATAAAATACATTTGGTATTGGCATTTTAAAGTATATGATGAGAAATAAAGGAATTCTGATCACGACTAAATTTGATTTCAATTCATTTTTATGAATGAGCCCAAGGTTGTAACAGGATACTTGGGATAGGTCCCAAGGCTTACAGTCACACCTTGTCTTCCTAATTGAGGTGATGAAATAACAGACACCACTGTTATATGAGTGTATTCAGATTACGTGGCAAGGTTTTAATAGCGGGGGCTGCAGGGGTGACTTCTATGAGAAGAATCAAGCAGCTGCCCTGTGTTAGATAACGGCCAGTTTCAGACGGCTCCAAAAGGGGCCCACTGCTGGCCACAGTCAAGTCAGGAAGAGATGTTGATTGTACCTCTGTGTGTGCAGCAGCTGCTGGGAGTGCAAGGAGTAAGAAGCAGCCCCCCAGCCCCCCAGGTGAGTGCAGAGGGAGGGCAGGAGGTGTTGCAGGCAGGCAGCAGCAGTTCCCCTGCAGGCTGTGCAGGGAGAGGCCCCTGGTGGAGCAGGCTGTCCCCCTGCAGCCCATGGGTCCCCCATGGAGCAGATCTCCACGCTGCAGCCCCCCCATGGGTGGAGGAGCCCCCGCTGGAGCAGGTGGATGTGGCCTGGAGGAGGCTGCGGCCCATGGAGAGCCCCCGCAGGAGCAGGCCCCGGGCCGGAGCTGCAGCCCGTGGAGAGGAGCCCCCGCAGGAGCAGGGGGTCTGGGGGGAGCTGCCCCCACCCGTGGGGGACCCGTGCTGGAGCAGTACAGGGGAAGGTGGGATTAGTTTGCTTTTAGTTTCTCACTTGTCTAATCTAATTTATTGATTATTACTAATAGAATAATCTCCCTATGCTGAGTCTGTTTTGCCTCTGATGGTAATTGGTGAGTGATCTCCCTGTCCTTGTCTCTACCCCTAAGCCCTTACTATTGTATTTTCTCCCCCTTTTCATTTGAGGAGGGGGAGTGAGAGACTGGTTGTTGTGGAGCTCAGCCTCCTAGCTGGGTAAAATCAGCATACTGAGAAATGATAAAGAAATAACCTGGGTACTGGAAACCTACGATCTCAAGTGAAAAAATGTTGCAAATGCATCATTTGGGATAGTAAAGATATAAACTTTATATAACAAACAGTAGAAAAGAGAAAGAATGACAGCTCAGGTTTTCTACTCCATTCCATATCTCTAAAACTACACAAAATTCAGTGTGAAGACGATATTCCTCCGTAAGTCATCATCTAATCTAACCACATATTCTCCCAGAAGGTATGGTATACTTTTCCTTCAATGTCAACCTCAGAGATTTAGTGCTGCCTAAGGAGTTTCCAACATGGGTGTGAAACAATTTCTAAAACCACTGCTAATCAAGCACAAGAAATTGCTCAATGAAGAGCTATTATTACCCCATGCAACACTACAGGCTTGGACAGAGTGGCTGGAAAGCTGTGCAGAGGAAAAGAACCTGGGGATGTTGATCAACGCTCACCTGAACATGAGCCAGCAGTGTGCCCAGGTGGCCAAGAAGGCCAACAGCATCCTGGCTTTATCAGGAATAGTGCAGCCAGCAGGACAAGGGAGGTGGTCATCTCCCTGTACTCTGGTGAGGCTGCACTCCTTGAGTACTGCGTTCAGTTTTGGGCCCCTCAGTACAAGAAAGACATTGATGCCCTGGAGCATGTCCAGAAAAGGGCTCTGAAGCTGGTGAAGGGCCTAAAACAGGAATCCTGTGAGGAGCGGCTATGGGAACTGGGGTTGTTTAGTCTGGAGAACAGGAGGCTCAGGGGAGACCTTATCGCTCTCTGCAGCTACCTGAAAGGAAGGTGGGGAGCTGGGGGTTGGCCTGTTCTCTCAGAAAACTAGCAATAGGACTAGAGGAAATTGCCTAAAGTTGCACCAGGGGAGGTTTATGTTAGAAGCTAGGAGACGTTTCTTCTCAGAAAGAGTAGTCAGGCATTGGAATGGGTTGCCCGGGGAACCTGTGTAAGGAAAGGTTGGACATGGTACTTACGGACAAGGCTGAGTGGGTAATGTTGTTGGTAGAGGGATGGTTGGACTGGTTGATCTTGGACCTCTTTTTCAACTTTAATGATTCTAAAAGTATATGACAGATATTTGGGGGGTATTTTTGGCCACACAAAGGAAGGCATGAAGTGATAAATGGTATTGGTGGAAGTAAAAGATGAACTTGAACCGGAATATATAAAGGTAAATCTCAAGAAATCAGAGAGTCCAGATCCTAAATACTGTTTTTAGGAACATATATATATCTTTTATGTTTTACTGACATAATCAAAATCAAATTTAGTTGGCCTTAATTATCTTAGAGGTCCAATCTAAATGATTGTATGATTCTGTAAAGTTCAGTTACTTGCTGAGAACGTCAAATTTATGCAAAATTGTGACGAGTGTGTGTTTATTTCACTTCGAGAAATAAATAACTTTCTGTATTAAAAACCTAGCTGTCTAACCAGGTGTATGCTATTCTTTCTTAAGCATATTGGCAGTACATTTTGCAGATAAATTAAAAGGCATTGGAGATCAACACTGCATTATCAAGGGAATGAGATTGTCTACACCATCTATTCTTTCTCTGTCATCTGTGATGCCCCAGATACTTCAAAATTATTCAACCCCCCACCTCCTCCCCCTCCCCCCCCCCAAAAAAAAAAGTGTTGAGTAGTTAAGTTTGCAGGGATAATGAGAAATACGAGGAAGTACATCTTCAGTATATGTTGGTGATAGTAGCTAAGGGAACAGAGAGACAGCTCCTGAGATAATATCATACTAAACAGAAAATGCAGCTATAAATTAGATGTGCACAGAAGGAAATCTTCAAATGTTTTACATATAATAGAAAATATTTTCTTGAAAAATAGTGCTGTGAAGTTTAGGAAGACACTAGTCAGGCATATTGTAATTAAATAAACTGAAAACCAACTATCATAAAGATCGTGCACAGATAGCTGAAGAAAAGATATTGTTATTGCGAGGTGGCTGTTAGGAGAAAACAGAGACAGCGGGAAGCAGGTAATAACACACAACACTAAAAAAAGAAACAGACTAATGTTTAAGTGGTACCCACATACAGCTGTATTTTGAAAGGTGTCATAGAAAATGAGAATGCTGAGAAAAAGCATAGGGAAGAAAAAATATGTGAACTTACATACGAAAATAGGGAAAGGCAATAATTTAGAGAAAGAAGAGAGGCAAAATCCCATCTTTTCAACTCTCTAATTTAAGCATACACAGAATTGTACAGCAATGTGGAATGTATGGATGGAGAGCAGTGCAAAAGTTTTGTTGAGGTGATTTTGGGATCAGTGACTTTAGAGAAAGTCTCAAGAATGTTTCTCAGGAACTAAATATAACCCTGTAAATCTCTTCTGACAACTCTTTTATAGTTGTGCTATTTCCAATGAATATATAAATGTATCCAATAAAATCTGAAGACCTGATGAGAATAAAGAACATATCCAAACAGTAAAAGGTAAGAATAATAGCCCAATGCAGCAGCTGAGTACCACTACAGAGGGCAGACATAGCCTCTGGGCTAGAAACTTTGAATCAGAGGGGTCAAGGGAACAGCCTCTTCTTCACAGGCAGGCTGAAAGCAGCCTATATTTATTTGTCTCCCTTTTCCATTTGATTTCAATTGATTGTTTGTTGAACTCATTCCTTTGGTTCACAATATATCTTGTTAGTCTCTTCAAAACCATGGAAATGAGTTTGGGACAAAATTGTTGCAATTAAGTCAGTGACAGGACAGCAGAGGTTGTATACTTCTGACTTCCATTTTTGAAATAAAATGAATTCCCAGATTTATCAACCTGCAAGCTACACATGCAATAAAACCTTCATGATTCTCAGCCACCCCACTCCACCATTCTTACTCACAGTGCCTTGTTTTCAGATCATTAAGGAGTTGCAGGCAAGCAGTGAGACATACAGATATATGAAAAACAAGTTGCAGCTGAGACAGACTTAGGAGAAGCTCAAACAGCTCCTGTTGGCTCACGGGGGGATAACTAACAGCTCCTGACAACAAAGCTCTTGCTTGCCATTTCATCTGTGATAATACAACAAGCTCACATAGCAGATCTAATCATAGACTGGAATTTGGTCAATACACTTTAAGGTACAGAAGTGAGAGCATAAGAAGCACAGGACTTAGGATGCTGCTTTCATGCTAGATCCTGAATCTATGCACCCACCTTCAGGCAATATTCGCATCATGCTTGGTGCTGCAGTGAAGCGTGCTGACTGTTTCCTTGCCATTACTCAAATCCACCTAATCTATGCCACTGATTTATTATTTAGCCTTGTGACAGGAAAAGTCCAAGGCAAGAGGAAAGAAGGTACGAGTATTTTGATCAAAAGATCCTGAATTATCTACTAGTCATTTTCAGATGCATGATAAGCACCCCAAGCCACCGCAGGGGAGGCTGAAAGTCTCCTTTATTGCTGTGGGAGATTCTCCCCAGTGTGGTATGACAGGTAGAACTCAGAGGTTGAAGTTTCTGAACTATTTGATGATCTCCCAGATACCACGTCTTTTTCACTAAACTAGAATGAAAGAAATCCAAACAGGCAAATATAAGAATTATTAACTTAAAAACAAATAAATAAAACAGTACTGAAAAATTATTTTGATCCATGTAGGAGAAGAAGGTGTCACAGCAACTAATAATAAGTACAATATGTTGTTACAATAAGTAACTACTGCTGTTTCATTGATATAGGAAGCTCTGTGTTTTAAACCAGGTTCAAGCCAATGGCTCTCAGGAATACTTGGTAAGTAGACACTTGTGTAGCATATCAGGCCAAAAATGACAAAGATAGATTTACTAATCAGGTGAGCCAAGATACATGCATGGCTTTGTGCCTCACAGAATTGAATATTCAGGACAGGCTGTTGGTGGAGCGAATGCTGGCAGAACCAAACTCCATGTGTGAATGACTGTACCCATAACCAGTTATTTTTCAATCTTCACCAATTACAGAGAAGCAGAACAACTTCAGGACTGAAGTATAAAGGGTTTGGGGTGAAGTATTTGAACTTGAAACTTGTAGCTCACCAATTAGGACAATGACAGGTTGTGAAACTTAGTGTATGTTCAGACAAGGTCATTGAAATCAGTCCTGGATCTACTCTAGCCTTCACTCTCTAATATGGGAGGAGTCTTTGCTTAATGAAAAGTGTGTATGTGGATTTCTTAAATGAGTATTTATTTATTTTTAGTGTGGATTTTTACAGCTGCTATTTTTAATGAAATAAATACAAATTTGTTTCTGCCCACAGCTGCGTGCCATTGCAAGTTTGGGTTGGAGTGCTGAAAATGGTTCTGTCCTCAGGGAACTTCGATGTGGTGAGAAAAATATAATTCAAAATCCATTCTTCTCTTTCTTATAGCAATAATTTGTGAAGAAGGTTTCAAGGTGCCTTGTGTACAACCAGGACCTTGTTTCAAAACCCAGACCCTTTAAACACAGCTCTTAGGGCAACAGCATCCTGTTGAGTCATAGCAGTACAAAGAAAGCGATACAGTTGCTTAAACCAGAAGAGCCCATACTGACTCCACCAACAGATCTGAAAGTCCTTGATGATGACCATTGAATGCGGTGTGGTGAAGGTGGAGGCAGAGTTGCTAGGAGGCTGCCTGGTAGGGGAGAAAATACAAAACTGGAGGCCCTGCAGCCTGAATCCCTGTGACTAGATGGCTGCCTTGCTTTTGTGCATTGTGATCAGAATCCCAAACATCTCTATAGTCCATGGGGGGTAGAAAGCCACATAAAGCCTGCTTTTACAGTCAGTATCTGTGGGAGATGTCACAATTTTTGAGTACATGTCATGTAGCTGGTATTCATATAGCAGTAAATCTCTCCAGGACTTTGGGATGAAAACATAAAGAAAGTTATCACTATCTTCCACATAAAGAAGTTTCTGGAAAAAATGTGGACATGGTTGGTATAAGCAACTGTTCCTGCATAAAGTACTTGCTCTGTTTTCATGCAAAACCACAGGTTCAGCCTCCAGAAGCAAACTGGGAATATTTTTGTCCAAACTGCCCAGCATCCTGGTGTGACAAAGCAAAATTTTTGGTGAGTGATAGTGATTAGAGCTGTAACTGAAAAAGTAATCCAGAAGACACTGTCACTAAAAACAAAAATAAAATACTATTAAATGATGTTTTTCGTAGCAACTCATGTAGTCACAGCACTTTGATGTAATATTAATATTTTAGATTAAACTACAGTTGAACAGTAGAATAAGCTTTCGTATTGCCAACCACCAAGTCCTGAGCAGGCATATAAGACTCTTATCAGTCCTCTAGAAACACCAGGCTGCTTCTGCAAAATCAAAAACCTCCTCACTACCAGAGCTTGCAGATCTCTTCTTTAAATACCATTTCTGACACAACCAATGGGAAGACAGCAGAAGCAGGAAATCATACAAAAGTAAAATGTTATTTAAGGAATTTTGTAATATTGTTGTTCTAAAAAAAGGTGAATCAAAAAAGTTGCTGCCACAACTATCCTATGTTATAGTGTATTAACCACCTCAGTAGTGTTATCTCCTGAGTGTTATCTCTAGGTTGGCAAACTGTTTTGGAGTCCTTTTTCTAATATTGTGCAATAATTTCTACCATACTAATCAAACCCTACAGCTTTGATTTTTGTTTTAATTTACAGGCATTACTGTGGCTCTTTTTATGTCTCTTGTACTGAAGATTTTCCTACAGTTGATTTGTGCTTTTGGGAGAGCTGAATAAATCAGACCTACAGCTTAACATAAGGAATATTAGTGTTCATCTTTCTTAGCCTTTTTCTTCAAATTTGTCTTTCGTACTTCTAGTGCCTATTCTCGTTGTTTTGATTTTCTGTGTTTGCAAGCAAGATTTAGATTATTTATAACCTTTCTTCTTACACATTTTTGGCATTCTCTTTGTAGATCTATCAGTAGGTAATTGTCATTTCACTTTGTAGGCCAAAACAAAAATCCTAACTCAGAATGCTATCTGCCTGCCCTTCTAATTTGCTTACAAGGTGCTTAGTGCTTTATGTTCTACATTTAATATTCACTCTGTGAGGCCTAATCTATGCTGTATTGTGCACAGACAGTGCTCTGGAATTAGCAGCCAGCACAACAGGATTATAATTGTGTGTAATCAAACCGCCAGGCAAATTGCAAAGCAATTGCAAGTATGGCACTCTGAGGCTCGACCTGTCATCACTGCAGTTCTTGTATCTGTTTTCCTTTTCCCCTTCATTGGTAAGTCTGGTGGTACTGCAATCTGGGATGTACATGCCTCTCCAAGGCTCTCCAGGCAAACACTATCCTCATGACTTCAAATGCATGAAGTAACGTGGTAGCAAAAACAGTAATTATTAATTCAAAAGATAGAAGCTAAAAGGTCATATCCTGGCTCTTGTTTTGACTTTCCCTGGACCCTGCATTAAGCCCTCATGTTTGTTGCTGCTGCTTAGTCTATGTAAGTTTACAAGATTGTTAAAAATCCTATCGGAGTTATGTCAATTAACCTTTTCAAATAAATTTCTTATTTTTTCTTTTTCACAAGTTGTTTGCAACTCATTTGCCTGCACAAATTTCTTCATTATTCAGAATGATTTATAAATTCCTTTGGTGATTAATTCTTAAGTAGCCAATATATCTCAAATACTGAAATAATAATACTGATATCAAATATGCAACCTGAAACTTTTCCCAGGTTAGTTAACTCCAGAAGTCAATCAATTAGAAAAGCAACACAAAACAGCAACAAGAGAATGTCATGATTTAGAATGTCAGTGGAGATTAATATCAGAAAGCTGAATTTGTAGTGTCAGTACTAAGCAATTAGTATATTATCTGAAATTCACTACAAATGTGGCCCTATTCTACCATGTAGCCAATCACCCTCCCTATCCCAAGGTAGGGAAGCTTTCTCTTGGTGAAATTTAGTTGGCCAGGTCCAATTTTTTCAGCAGAGGATCCTAATATTAAAATGAAATTGCCAAAACAACAAATTAAATTGATTCGAGTCAGCATTGTAAGGAAAAAATATATCCTTGGTAAATAAAAACAATATATATTTCTTTAGCATAGCATTGGAAAATTCTTCCCCAAGTGCTTAATGAAGCATCAGATTTTGGATGCAGTAATAACTCTCACTCTAGACCAAGCAGGCCCCACTCCACCAGGCACTAGCAGTTTCTGACAAGTCCCTGAAAGCATTGTACCTTCTGAGATGATGCTAAGCTGGGATAGCTGTAAGTCTGACAAAGAAAAAAATTAGAATTCACTGTGACCTTGGTGGACTGAAAATATGGTCTAGAAAAAAAAAATGCAATTCCGTTAGACAGGTGTGCAGTTCTGTAGTTAGGTGGGAATAACCAATTGCATGAGCAGGAAAGACCAGATGGCAAAGGACTGACGAGGTAATAGGTCTTCAGAAATGATCATGGGGACTATAGCAGACTACAAACTGCAGTTGAATGAGTAGTGGTGTGCTGTTACAGAAAAAAAGGCAAATGTTACATGATCATATAGATGACAAAAACATTATCAGATTCATACAAAAATGTTTCCATTCTACCCAGCACTAATGAGACTGGAGTTGAAGTAGTTGAAGTATAGTGCCCAGTTTTAGGCATAACACTTCAAAAAGACATGTGTATCAAGTTGGAGACAGTCCAGAGTAGAGAAGCAGGAATGATGAGACAGCTGCAAAACATGAGCTATGAAGAAAGACTGAAATAATTGAGCTTGTTTAGTCTAAAGATGAATTGACTACATGAGCAAGAGGTGCAGAGGGGTGGGGAGGGGAAAGGCTTGAGGGAAAACGATGACAGTCTTTAAATATGTAAAAGGCTGCTTTAAATGTGAAAGAAAGAAATAATGTATACTGTTATCTATGGTAGCTACAACAAAAATGAGCTTCTGGCATAATAAGAGAGGTTGAACTTAGATTTAGAAAATATCTTTCTAGTGTTAATGGTAGGGAAGCTCTGCAAAAGATATAAAAAGAACATAGGATTTTTAACACAAAAAAAAAAGATTATTTTTTTTTTATATATTATTATTACTAAGAACAAATCAGGCAAATACCTGCCTAGACTATGTGAATTCCTCTGGTCCTTTACAGCCTTCTTTTCTGTTACCATGAAACACGATAGAAGAAAAGTAATGGGTGTATCTGAAGAAAAAATATGATCTAATTAAGTGAATGTTTAAGAGATCTACTTTTACTCCTGTTGCCCAGATGGATGTTAAAAACTTGTATGCTGCATGTTATCAATCTGTAATGAGATTTATGACTATTTCCTTTTGTCAAGGTTGTTTGATATGAAGCATATCCTCTTACTTAGAGATGCCAGCCTCCTCAAAAGTTCATGCTGTGGTAAGTCTTTCATCATAACTTGTTTCCCAGTCCACCATCTCTCCAAAAAATCCTTGCCAGGAAAAAACAATTTTTTGAAATTTTTAATGTAGAACTCCTGCCTGAGAATTGGTTTTATTATTATATATATTATTTTTATTATTATATAAAGATTATTATTACTCACATATCAAGAAAATTTGCAGCAGTGTCCTTCATATCTATTGTCACATCATGACAGTGTTCAAGCAACATTGAACAAAGACAAGGTATTACTGACTTGCAAAATTGTCAGTGAGCCACCAAACACAAAACAATTATCTGTTTTTAACAGCAACATTCTGTATGGACAACAATGAAACAGAAATCTCAATCATGCAATAAATCATTTGTTGCATATTAATTAAGTCATCTTGACAAGAACTGAGGAGATCAGAATGACCATCGTGGTCAATAGACTTCACCACTTTATTTCTCTTCTAATATCTCGTTTATTCAAATTATACAAATCCCTTAGAAATGCTTATTCTATGTGTACGTATTCAGTTTAGTGGAGCCTTGATTTCATCCAGGCACTCATGGAATGCCAATAAATAATTATTAGGGTATATAGAAATTCCCATGGAACAATGTAGGCAGTGACCTCCAGTGGTTTCAAAAAAAAATGAACAGCTCAGACTATCCCTTAAATCAAAAATAAACAAAACAATAAATAAAAAAAAAAAGAAAAATGTCAACACTCCTGATATACATGACGTGCAGAAATAGAGTTATTGATTACTGTTAGCAAGATCCTATAGGGCTCTGTCTTCTGGATTAAATATTTATAACTCCATACAGGCAAACAGTTATTAGTATTTTTCTGCAGATAGTCATAGATCAATACTTATTTTGCAGATATGTGTTGTGTTAATCTATGATTACTGTCATATTCATTGAGGAGTGGGCATAGATTAGCTGTGACTGAATGCACCCTCTAATAAGAGTCAGTATATCTGATATTTAATGTATTTATTTATAACTTGCTACTTTGGGATTTTGAACAAAATACAAAGGAAAAAAAAAAGTCACATAGACAATAACTTTTGGTTATGATTCATCCCTGGTTAGGGAGGAACAATACAAGTAGTCATTGGGAAAGACAGAACAGCTGTTTATCGGTTTGATAGACTCTGACTAAACCTCCCACTGAAACTGGGAGTTTGCACAAACTCTTGTAAAATGCAGAATACCCTATTCCAGTTTAAACCCCAGTACCACAAGCAATCACATGGAATTGTCTGAACAAAATGTAGCTTGTAACACAGAACAACATGTTATTGTTGTTGACGGGCTTATTTTTGTTTGTAGACTCTTGTATTTGCTTAATGCCAAAGTGGATCACAGTCCTGCTATTCTGTAGTTTCTGTGGCTAAGAAAGGAAGCAGATTAGAGTACCCATTGCATAACTTCCCTCTGGGGATTCCTACTTGTATTTGGCCTGTCAGCTCCAAGATATAATGAACCATGTTTGCTGTTATTTGAATAATGATTTTGACTGTCATAAGTAGAGTCATTAGAAATTAGATCATCATCCCCCAGCTGCAGCTTTAGGGCAGATATTGCATTTTGGCCATCCCTAAGCTCTCTCACCCTCCAGCAGCCAAATAAGGTCAGAATTGATAAAACTAAGAAGCACTAGCTAGCTTGCTGCTACAGCCACTGTCTCAGGAAGACTGCTTCAACCCAAAATGTTTGCAGCAAGACATGGAAAAAATATGTTTAGAGATGAGTATGGAGAAAGAGCAAATTAACTAAAGAAAGAAAGAAGGCTACAATGATATATTTTCTGTACCTGAAAAAAAATTAGTTCCAAGTCTTTTTGCAAAGTTGTTTATTTTCAGTGCCCACTTTTACTATCTTCATATCCAAGCTGAGGAAGAAATTACACAGATCCTTGGAGCGGAGTGAATGAGACTGAAAAATTCGTAAGGTTTTTTGTGGCACTGCAGGGCTAGAGGGAATAAGGGTTCTCTTCTGAGTATTACTTCATTCAATTCACAGAATGTTTTTCTTTCTAATTGGTGTAAAAGCAAATCTACCAAAGGTGCTTTGTGAATAATACATAGTAGTTTATTAAGTGAATTTCTTTGTGCATTTTTCCATTTCTCTGACTAAATTGTGGCTTCTGTGAAAATACACAGGACCTAAGGATGGGACCTAGCCTTACTCACTCTAGGCAGCTTCAGTTTTTCAGATTTGTTATTAAAATACCTAATATGATCAGGTATCCTTTGTTAACAGGTAAAAAGTTTTCCAAAAGAATAAACTATCCTTGCAGGTACTAGATCCAAAAGACATCAGTCCTTCTCTGTTCTTATTACATGTTTTTGATGACTCAGTAGGTCTTTTGGCCATTTAGAAATTACATGGGTTT